CAACATTACTGGTAGTAACAAGAAATTCAGAAGCGTAAGAGGAAGCAATAGTGCAGGGAACAGCAACAGCACCAAATGAAACTTTTCTTTTGTACAGCTTTGAAGACTATTACTTGCCTGGATCAAGGACTTGTGCCACCAGTGGTCTTGATAAGAAACATATGGATGCATTTTACATTGGTGTGAGGATGCGATTCTGGTATTATTAGATCAGTCAATAGCATTCCCCCCAGGCAATGGGCATATTGTGAGCATAATGGTATTAATTCTACTTCATTTGCTGCAGCTTAGTTGTTTCCTTAGCATCACAATCCTTGTAATGAAAAGACAGAGGTCAGAAAGTTTTCCAGAGTACTGAAGTTCCACTGTAAGCCACTTGGATGCATATTCCTAAATCCCTCTGTTACAAGGGAGAAGTTATTAAAAAACAACACATAATTTTACTTTACTGGTTGCAAAGACTCAGTTGTGCATCTTGGTGCTATAACCGCTCATGACATAGAGTGCCAGGTACCACACTGTTTTGTGAATATTTGTGCAAAGGATTGCTCATGAAGGGAAGGATGAGTAGGAAGAATCCACTCACTTATATGGAGTACTCCAGAGGGTTGGTTTGGCAACAAAATCAAGTTCCATTCTAACAATCACGTAAGTGAAAACCAGGTATTTCACCCATCTATAGTTGTTAGACAAAGGGATTCTGAGCTGTCTTCAAACTTTACCTTTCTCAGCTACAGCTTTTTCTTAACCTACAGGATTTTTGCACCTAAAAAAAATCTATAACGCCTGCTGTGTACAGAGTTTGCAAGGATTTTTAATGAGAGCAAACTTAAAACCCCTCTTCTTTTTTTAGATAAACATATTTGATCTTTCCAGTCATTATCATTTTAACTTGCGAAGTGACATTATGCCAAAAAGAAGGAATTCATAAATTAGTTCCAATTTAGAAAGTTTTCTTGTCATTGTATAAATGACAGATCTTTAAAAAGACAACTTAAAATGAAATGCAATAAAAAAATTTCACTTTTGTGGCAGGTTTTTCTTTTCTCTCTCTCTTTTTTTTTTTTTTTTTTTTTTAAGACTGAAAGAATAAAACAATGTGCTATCAAAAAAGAAATGAATAGTACAAAAATTACAAATGTGCATGGACAGTAAACTCATTTAAATTCTTAGATTGTTTTAGAAAACTAAATTTAGTTGGGACACTAACTAAAGAAAATGTAAGCAGAAAACACTCTGCAAAGTTAAATTCACTTGTCAACAGAAACTAATAAAGCAGGATTCACATCCAGCTTCTTATTTCAAAACCTGCTGGTGGCTAGAGCTATTGATATTTTGGATGCAAATCTGCCCTGCTGAGCTCAACTAGAAATTTGTTAACAATGTTACTGAGCCAATGTGTCACCCATGCATTTTTCATCTATTCTCTTTAAGGACTGTAAAATTTAGATGAAGAGTAGAGTTTGGCTTTCAAATGCCTTTAATGTTTGGGAGTGCTTGACTTTAATTCCTTGAGCAGACTGTGTTTCTGTAATTAAAAATATATGTGGAGAAATACGAAAAAAACCCATGTGCATGTGCATGAGCACAAGTGATGCCAAGGTGACAGAGTGGAGGCTAACGGAAGACTTCTGTCAATGAAAAAGAGAAAAAAAATTATGGTCATTCTTAGTTTTGAAACATTCATATGAGGTACCACTCCAGCCAGTGACCACAGACAACTCCTGGGACTTCTGGGACCAAAGCAATCCTTCAGTGGATACATTACTGTAGCTTGATCTCAGCTCAAAGCTCTGTTTATTGGGAGTCCCTAGGAGTCCCACATGGCTGTTCTGGACTCCTGGATGTCAAACTCACCAAAATACTTACTGATGTACTGAAACTGAGCAGTTTAACCACATGGCCATTAACCTATAGGAAATAACTCCTCAACATCATCTTGCCTCCTGCTAACTATCCCGAGTTACATAGAACCTTTAAACTCCAAGATCTACTGGACACGATAATATCTATTTTCTTTCTTTACCTTGATGTCTGCTGTGGTGAAAAAAATACTGTTATAAAGTGAATAAAAAAAAGAATGCAGCAGGACACAAATAAAGTAATGTCTAAAGGTTAAAAATATTTGCCAAAATAATTTGTAGTCACAGCTGAGGAGAATATTGGTATGAGAGGACATCATGTACTAAGATCACAAGAAATCTCTGATTCAGAGAGGGATTCTGAAAACTCTGCTTTCCTGATCTCAAACTTACAGGAAATACAGGTTTTGCTTCATGCTTTTAGAAACCTTGAAAATAACATTTTAGAGATGAGTTTCAGATCCAAGTGGGGTGACTATAAGAATACACACAGCTGAATTAAAAAAAAGAATGGGGGGACAGCCTAATCAAGTACCTGCTAGTCTCTGAAAAGTCTGGAGATAGATAGGAAACAAGTATCGTTTTTTAAAATAATCTTAAAACTTTAAAAACCCATCATATTAATACTGTACATGAGATGGGACATCTCTAAACAAATGTTAAGAGAACAAAGATCTCATGTTAAGGCAGTAAGATACAACCGCATAGTATCTGTTGAGATACTATTCTAGAATAAACTTAATTAACCTAGAATTAACCTCAAAAAAGAGCAGTTTAGATTCTGAATACAAATGGGTCATGAAAAGAAAAAACATTTTATTAGTCCTTTACATCTCATATTGACTAGAAAAGCAAGATAAATTGAAAAAGTTAGGATGAATTCCTGCCTTTACATAAGGAAACTCCCTTGACTATGTTGAAGCACACATTTCACCTTCAATATTGTATGTACAGAGGAAGATCATCAGAAATTGATAGGAATACAGTGATGCTACTGGATCAGCTTCCAATAAAAATTAAATTTTCAAGCATTAACAGATGCCAAAGTATAAGGAGTTCATAGCCTTTCATGGGTTATAACTTCATCTTTATTCTGCCAAAGCAATACATTCAGAAAATGTCTGCTTCTTCAAGCAACCAACCTTATTTCAGTGGCGTATGTTGGATCTGAGTCTATCTAGTACAATTTCAAGATAGTAAAACTGCAACTGATAGAAACTTCAACATGAGTAGAATGATCTGTTATCCCCACATATAAACTTTTCTGGGTTTCATTTTTTCCTTGTGTAGTAGACCTCCTTTTATTACATTAATGGCTACATTTAAGGAGAAAAGTGAAATGATTTTTAGGATAATGTTTTAGTGTCTGCTTCACAATGGTTTTTATTGAGCTGTAAAGCACTTGTATGCATAGAGAAGAGAAGGTGCATTTTAGAAATAAAACTATTAAGTAACATTATCTTGCCATGGATCATTCCCACTGGGACAGAGGAACCATTTGAAAAGCATAACTGAATTCAATTAAAATATGATAAATTTTGATCTCCATCCTACCCACCTTTTCAACATTACACGCTGATCAAGAAACTAATAAAAGCATGACTGTTTATGTTTAGAAGTTTTTGTCTGGTCATATGTTGTACAATGCCTTCATATCTTTCTCCTACTATTTATAGCAGGGAGTAACTTAAATCTAGCAGCCTCCTCCTAAAAAGGTGAATGGACACCTATGGCCCCATATCTAGTTGCCAATAGATGCTCCATCAGTAGCAATCAATATTACATGTCATTGCCCAGAAGATGTACCTTTGCATATCAGGGCAAGAACAAGTGGACTCCGGATAACACAATGAAATGACTGCTTGTATCTGACACAAAATCACAGAAAAGTGTATCCAAAGTAAAATTCATAGAAATACCTTCTTCATAGTTTTTCTGGGGGCCAAACCATAATCACTGTATAGATCTTCTTTTTTGCAAGCACACATGGACAGAGACCTTGGAGATATAACTATTAATTATCTTGAAATAATTTTTTACTGATTCTCCCTAAAGAAGATAGTTTCTATCTTCTTTAGTTAATTGAGAGTTAAATGAGTATGTATTTCTGAAATACTGGCCCATATCAATTTTGTAGGTCACTGGATCCTATAAGTGATCTGCACACGGGAGATTAACAATGCCTTTTGAAGTATATTGGTTCTCCTATCACACTTACGAACACTGCCTAATATAGAAAAGTAATATTACAACCCAAGTACACAGTAGGGAAACACCATTTCTGCTTTACAGATGGCCAGCTGAGACAAGAAGAAATTAAGTTATTTTTCCAATGTCAGACAAGAAACCTGTATCATAATGGAGAAAATCTAGGCCTTCTGAGTCTTGGCTGATTTCCTGAACAATTAAACTATTCATCTGTTCTGGTATGAATAAACCTCTGGTTGCAAATTGGATTGGTGAAATCATCAGTTCATCATGGGATAAAAAACAAAAGAGAACCATTTGACACAGCATAACGTAACCTGCACAGCAGCTTTCTTCTCCAAAATTATATCCCAAAATATCATAAAAAGTTAAATAACAGAGCAATTAAAAAAAAAAAAAAAAGAGCAAAAGAAAAATTAAGTATCTTAGACAAAGAGAAAAAGATGTTTCAAATGAGGCATGAAAATAAATGTAGATAATAATTATCACTTATGCAATGCTTTTCATCTTCAAAATGCTGTATAAATATTACTTTAAAAATCCACACAACACCTCATGAGATGGATAAATATTAAACATAAGGTAATGTTATACCCTCATATGATTTAAACCAATATTAATTCTAGAAAACCAAGGAAAGAAAGGGTTGTAAGGCTAAAAGACTTGTTTAAAGCACCTGAGCTGCCCACTTTCTACAGAAATAAACCTACACTGTCAGCTAAGAGGACCGTAATTCTCACAGGCATACATGAGCTAGCTTTAATTAATCTAGTACGGACTCAGAACAACCATGACAACTGGGGTTCGACAAGACTACAAAGTCTATCCCAGACTCCAGGCAAATACAGAGATAGTTAGCCTGGATGGCATTCCACACTATGTGGTCACTAGCAGGATAAAAGTTAGCCAATTAAAAGCTGACCCGAGTACCTTGTACAAAGGGTTGTCATACATCTAGAACGTAGCAGAAGCAGATCCAAAGCTGGGACTGGAACTGTAGACCTGGCTCTGAAGCTTTCTCCCACAGCTCGGAGGAAACCAAGCAGGCACACACAGCGAGGCTATTTCACACATGATGGAGCTGCAGTGGAGATGGAGCTTTTACACCTGCAGAGCCTGCCAAAATAATGTAAAAGGGCAAAAGGGAAGGTGGTAAGTCTAATCAAAGACAATGTTTTGAGCTGAATAAAACACTTAACTGCATGGAAAATTCCATTAGGTTGATTAGATACTTGCCTTAGGGCCCTCTTAAAAGAACTGTTAAAAAAAAAAAAAAGATAGCTATTGCAATGCGGCTTAAAAATATTGGAAAAGCAGGAAATGGAGCTTATTAGAGCTCAAATTAGATCCACGATTTATGTGAAGAACATTTGGCCTCTTTAAGAGGCCTGCCTAATCCCTAGATGGTTTTTATTGTTTCTATTATTATTATTTATTTATACAGTGCCATAGGTATACATGGCACTTTACAGACAAATAAAAAAAAACATGGGTCCTCCCCCAGAGAGTTTACAATACCTGATCCAGCAAAGAGTCAAGTACATGAGTAACTTCATTTGCAGGACTAACCTCCATTGGAACCAATGAGATTTAAAAAAAAAAATCAACTTATTGACATGTTATCTCTTCCAGACAAGACCATCTGGTTTCAGACATTCAGTCTTATATCACAGCTGTAGAACCCAGTTCATGCGAATAACTACCTGAGTTTCAATAATTCTGTTGAACAAATCTTACAGTAGGCTTTTGTTCCAGGTTATGTATGATAAAGACAAGCCAAAGCTACCAAGGGATGAAGCTAAACTGTTTTTGTACTGCTAAGTTGGCTTCAGGGAAAGGCTGTTACTATTATATGTAATATTTTCTCAACTGGAGCAGCAAAATTAGTCAGTGATTGAGAAACAGCCACATGACGTAGTTTAGTGCAAAATGGGGAAGCTGCGTTTTGCTTGTGTTCCTTCTTACTGTACACTAGTGTTGATGAGCTGTTTCTTCAGGGATGACTGCCTAGATCTCTCTATCTACACTCTAAAACTACTGAATTTGAACATTATTACAGCACCAGTATTACATTTCAGGTATAAACTTCAAGTAATATTGTACAGAAGTGTTCTTATTTTACTTTGCAAAAGAAGCACTTCTGGTTCCCATGAAAAAAACAATATACTGTTGGTTTTCATTTGCAAGATGAGGGGATCCTATTCTCCTTCTTACTGTCCTGATGCCCCTATTTCTGTGAATGGAAAATTGGAGAGACCTCAAGCTACGTCTCTTTTGGAGGGTAGTAATGACTACTCCAAATGTGCAACCCTATTTGCCTGCATATAAACTTTTAATAATGTTCATTAAACTTTATTAGAATTGTACGTGCAGCCAGATCAGGGTTACAAATTAAAACCTCAATCCTGCAAACACTTAAGGAGCTTTATTCATGTTAGCAAAAAAAATTTCTCTTTCTATACTCACACACTTAAAATGAAGCTGTAACAAAGATTTTTATTTTTTTTTTTATCCTCTGGTATTAAAGTTAAAAACATATAGTCAGGAAAGAAATTATATGTTACTAGTGTACAAAAAAAGCAAACAACTCCACAACCTTTTGAAATTGCATCTTTTTAAAAATTATCATTATGTGGAAAAAATTTCTGGTACAACAGACTTGGAAAAGTCAATGAACAAATGAACTATGACTGTATGCACATAATGATATACAAAAGTCCTGGTCAGAAGAGACACTGAAGTCTGTAGTTTTGCAATAAACTTTACAGGCAAAAGGATCGAATCTACAGAGTCTGATATAAGATCCTAGTGAAGCTAGTAAAAATTTCTCCATTGATAAACTTTGAATCAGATGTAGAGTGATCAACAGAACTGTAGGTAAAGATGAAGCCATAAAATCCAGAAAGTTTTTGAAGAAAACAGACATGAGTGACATAAAGCCAAGGTCAAACTCTATCACCAAGACAAGTATGTGTGAAAGAGTTATACCTCTTTTAGGGCTAAGTACAGTATTTATGATTATTTATTCATCTTGAAACAAAAGGTTTTAATCTGTTTATTTTAAAAAGCATGTTTTTATTACATTGAATAATTTCCTTTGAAAAATAAAAATGTTTCCTAAAACCATTAGCAGTTAAACTAGATCTTTTTTTTTAGTGTATATCTGAGATGAGAGTGCATACCATTATTCATGCATAATCTGATTCCAAATGATTCCTTGTTTACAATTTGTTTTGTGTATTTTCTTATGTAAGGAAGAATTAATATACTCAGGGATAGAAGAAATATGCTATATTATCTTTTACTGCATTTATTTAGAACATGCCATACATCCTCTTTAACTCCCCAATGACATTCAAAATAGCCTGAGAAAAACACAAATAAATACACATATAAACGAGGACAAATACACTAATATGAAAATGATATAAGATACAGACTTGCATATAGGTACATTAAGCATGTGTAATATAAGAAATGGAAATCATAATCTGACTCCAAAATTTTGAATAAACATAAAAAATTACTCAACGTTTGTCTAGATTGGATGATAAACAAAGTCAGATTACTGACATACAGTCACAGCTTGCTCTCCTCCAGCAACCAGATGACAAAACCTCAGCTCTTCCATTTCAATTTCTCCGTGTGGGGAGACTCCATCACAATTAGCATACTCTTTTCTAAATACTAGCACCCTCCAGTGTGCACACCCAGTAACATACACCCCATCCTGGGCTGTTCAGTGAGCTTCCTACCACAGGGGCTGGAGCGCTCTGAGCAGGAATGCGGATCAGATGTGAAGTAGCAGAGGTTTTCATACAAACCCAGGATTGCATGATTCCAAATTGTGATGGTCAAGGAATGATGGAAGTATATAAAGATCTTGCAATTCTGATAGTCACGATAGTTCAGATGAGAAATTACTGTGAAAATTTGGAGACTTACCTTCAGATCCATCTTTTCTAACCCTACCAGGTTTCCTATCCTCACTAATATCTTCCACCTGCTATCTCTTACACCTTTTCAACTAGCTTTACATGATTGAAGGGCTCAGACCACCTTGACTCAATCCAACCTACTTGATTCTTTTCCTTTTGACATTGTCACACTTTTTTATCATGGTGAGTCACAGAGCTTGAAGCCTTTCATCATGTTTAGGCAGGCATCTCCCCTGAATTCCTTATTGTTAATTGTGAGGAAAAAAGGACAAAAGCCTTTCCCCCCCATATACAAAAGAATGTATCCATTACTATAGGTGAATTTGGAGTAGCACTGAAAAGGTTATGTCCCAAGTAACCCATTTATGTTCATCCCTGTGCTTCTTACCACAATATAGTTCTGATGCTTCTTGTTATTTCGGATTTTGAGTATATGGAATGACAGGAAAAAATTCTAATGGTCAGCATGCTAAGAGACTGTTTCCCCTTGAGTAATTAATAAACCAGGGCTTTCTTTTTCTTTTATCCTTAGTCATGATTATCTTTCTCTCCCAAAAGTTAGCTTGGTTTTTATTTATTTTTACAATATTTGTGGTTATCATTGATTTCTGCCTATATGTAATAGTATATTTTTGTGGCATTTTAAGAAATTAAATTTCATATGGTCTATCTTTCCAAAGTGTAATTCTGCAAAAGTAGTTCTTGTATTCATGTACAGGAAGGATGAAATAGATAAAATATCTCTGAAGAAATTATCTATGGTAGTAACTGGGTTGTAAAGTTTGACCTTATGAAACAAGCAATGTGATGACTGTTGGAAACTAGACCGTTGGAGGTCTACAGTATTTAAGGGCCTGTCACAGTGTCCCTCTGAATGCTCCTCAGAGATATAAAAACTGTCTAACCTGTCTTGCAACTAAATTTAAAGTTTATTCCTACTAATCTAGTCACAGCATCAGATTCTAATGGCAGCTGTGACTTAACAAAATCCAGGAAACATTCATCTTGGTGGAAGAGACTGAAGTACCTCTTTTCCATTTCAGAATTTCTCTTTCAATCTAAAGTTTAACAAGAAATCAAAGATTTTATTGTAAATTTTTTTTATAATTAAGAGAAAATATTTTTTATCTAAATGTCTGATTTATATCACTAGATATTTTGCCATTAGTGCTTTCCAACATGTTAAACCCAGTCATATTGTCAAGTACTGCAGATCTTCAAAGGTATTTATGTGCCCATATTCTAATGATTTACTGCAAAGTAGCCCCCTAATGTCTTTCAGGATGTAGACCGAAATCTTGTATGATTTTTGCTGATAGATTAGTTTTGATACACAGAGTGTTAAGTAATTGAGATGCTGTTGAAATCTGTGTCTTTGGTATGCCATGTACTTGATCAGGAACGATGATGCAACATGTCGACCACACTTTATAGCCTGGCCTTGGAGGCGAATCTGAGAGACCTACATGTGTCTCTGAAGGCAAATTAGCTATATATAAACCAATAAAATCACAAAAAAATATAATAAGAAAACGCTTCCAGAAAGCTTACTAGTAGGTTTTGCAACCTGTCTTTTATATTTAGACTTACCAACAAATTAAGAACCATCATTGTCTATTAACAGGTACATAATCTTCAAGGCTATATTTCATGATTATACAATTTTCATTAACATTGTCTCTAATCAAAGTACCCTACCTGCTAATTCATGTCCTGACATGGCATTTCAGAAGAGGGAGTTGGATTCCCTGACTGTTTTACAATATAATGAAAATCATCCAAATGATCATATCTTAACATACTTTCAAATAGAAAACTCAGCTTACTTTTAACTCTAGAACTGTGATCTGTTTCCAGAATATTAAAACTTCAGGCTTCTTTTCTCATGAGTAAGGTTGACATAATTTTATTCCCTTTTTATGATCACAGGATAATTTGGGTTGAAAGGGGCCTCAGGAGGTTTCTAGTTCTACCTCCTGCTCAACGCTGGCTCAGCAACCGTCTGTGAAGACCAGTCAGGGCTTTATCCAGTTAGATCTTGAAAATCTCTAAGGATGAAGACTGCACGACCTCTCTGGGTAACCTGTGCCCTTGCTTGGCTGGCCTTGAGGGGAAAAAGATTTATCTTCATCTCCAGTCTGAACCTCTCTTGTTTCTACTTGTGCTTGCTGCCCCTCA